GCGTGAACACACTCTCTCCTTTTGGGCAGCAATGTCTTTCAGGCTCCTGCTGTAGGTAAGTCCCATAGTGTTGCCTCATTTACTAAAACTGGAAACACATAGCTAGAGCTTAGCCAGTTCTGCCATTTCTGTGAAGAGAGTCTGAGGATCATAGGGTGCTATGGCCCACCCGGGCCCTGCTGGCTGGACCCCTGGTTTCTGCCCCAACTGCCATGTGAGGAACACCTCTTCCCGTATTGACTCCCTGTGCAAGCATCCTGCCCCCTGCTAACAAACAAGGTATGCTTCACTCTCCTTGACTGACTCCAGTGCTGGCCTTCCACACTGCTACCCTGGGACCAGCCTGCCAAAACCATGCCCAGCCAGAGGTAGAGGGTGGCCTCCTCATGACTGACTGTGTCCAGACAGTAAAGGCACAGTTCTTTAGAAGAGAGGCAGAGAAACTGGGCTGCGTTAGTAGGAGCATTGCCAGCAGACTGAGGGAAGTGATCATTCCCCTCTATTTGGCACTGGTGAAGCCATATCTGGAGAACCGTGTCCCCTCCCTCCCCTCCCCTTCCCCCACTTACATGAAGGTTGTAGACAAAGTGGACAGAATCCAGTGGAGGGCAAAGAAAATGGTTAGGGGGCAGGGGTACATGACTTCTGAGGAGAGGCTGAGGGAACTGGGCTGCTTCTTTTGCTTGGAGAAGAGAAAACTGAGGTGGGATTTAACTCCATCCTTCAACTACCTGAAGGAGTAGGGAGTATGAAAGGATGGAGCTACTGTTCTTAGTGGTGGCAGATGACAGAACAAGGTGCAATGGTCTCAAGTTGCAGCAAGGGAAATGTAGGTTGGATATTAGGAAAAATGTTCTCGCTAGGAGGGTAGTAAACCACTGGAACAGGTTACCCAGAGAGGTTGTGGAGTCTCCATCCTTGGAGGTGTTCAAGACAAGCCTGGACAAAGCTTTGGCTGGGATGATCTAGTTGAGGCTGGCCCTGCTTTGAGCAAGGGGTTGAGCTAGATGACCTCCTGAGTTCCCTTCAACCCTAATTTTCTGTGATTCTGTAACATTTTCTGGGAGTTAGAGGAAGCAAATGGGATTTGCCTGGGAATGTCAGGAAGCCTTGAAGAGATTGCAGCTCACAGGCCTCAGATAAACTGCCTCACACTACAGGGATGCAAAATTCAGAGTTTGCTGGGAATCTGACCTTCTACATGCTTCCCAGGAATTGCAGGGGGGCAGAGCAAGCTGCAGAGAGCTCCCCTGCTCCCAAGCCTGCATTCTCAGCTGTTGCAGTTGGAGATCCCCGAGGAGCTGAAGAGTTTACAGGAAGGTGCCCCTTGTTCAGGGTAAGTGTCACGGCATCTCAGGAGGAAAGACTTCCACTTCCAGCAAGGGACATGCTCAAAGTGCCAGCTGTTCTTGGCAGGAGCCTGGAAAGTGGAACTGAAAAGAATAAGCAGCTGAGCCCCAGTGGAAGAAGGCTAGGGGGACCTTCAAAGCCCTTCTGTTCTGCATCTAAAATGATCAGGTGCAATTTGGAATGTGGTGCTGAGGTTCAAGCCTTCCTTTCTGACCCCTGCACAGAGGCCTGATCCAAAGGAACTGGTTGTGCTTGCATGAGACGGGGAGCTTTAGAGGCCTATCCCAAATACTAATGCTGGTGTTTCTTGTTCCGACTTTTTGGCTCACACTGAACTGGGTGCTGGTCCCCGGGCAGGTCCCCATACTGTCTGCACAGACCAGCATTTCAGCAGCAGTTGTTGCAATGGGAACTATCCTTCTGTGTTCCCCTCCTTGCTGCACCCAATGCGCTAGGGGTGTGTGGTACACAAAACAAGCAATTCCTAGCCCCACCATGCTCCTTCAGCACCAGACCAGGAATGGGAGCCAAGCTGTGGCTGAGTATTTTAGGAGTCCCACAGCCTGGAGTTTGAAGAGCCTAGAGCAACCCTGAGCCCCCTCTCCCTTCTCCATCCACACCCTGGAAATCTGCTTTACCTCCTGACTTACCTCAAGAACTTAAAGGAATCCATTCCCCAGCTAGGCAATGCTCCTGGCTCCTGATGGTCAGAGGCTGTAGTTGTGTCCTCCATTAGCAACCTGACAGTAGATAGGCTAAAGCCATTTGCCTACCATCTCAGCTTCTCCTGAAGGAGTGGCTAGACATAGGGAATTGTGGTTTTGAAGGGTAGAAAGATGGCTGAGTAGGTAGAAATGGCATGTGTTGCTTGCTGAGGTGGAAAATATGTGGTAGCTGCTAGGTAGATGGCATAACAGTGCTGGAACCCATGTGGTATTTCTTCCCTTGGCTTGAGACTCCTAAGCCTGACCCTGGGGATCCCTGTACAGGGATGTGAGCCCCCAGTGTGGCTATGGCAAGCACAGATCTCCTCTTAGTCCCTGAAAGGCTACAGCACTGAGAGAAGCTAAGTGAAAAAGCTTAGCTAGTGTGCACAGTATCCTAAGCCTAAATTTCTGACTCTTGTCCATGGGCATTTTTGGGGGAGACTCCTGGACTTTATGGGATAGCATTTTTGATGGCTGCTGTGATCCCCAACACATGCTTTAATCCCTAAAAGGAAGCAGTTTTGGAGGCTCTTTGAACCACTGCCTTTATTGTTACTCTGCAGAGTACAGGCTGCATCCCCAAAGGCATCACGAAGGTAGAAAATAAATAATACACAAGTACCTGGGTGGAAATGTGAGACAAAGGACCTTCCCTGGATCAGCCAGGCTCTTGGGTTCTTTCAGTACCCACAGCAAACCTTTCCCTACACTGTCTCAGCTCTCCAACACTCACCTAAGTGAGGTTCTCAGAAACCATTCAGTTCCTGATACTGATGATTACTTTTCAGAATTGTCCTGTTTTCTGTGGGCAGATGGTGCATCTGCACAGAAGCTTATTGCTGAATGTGAGAGTTGCATACATCACAGTGGTTGTAGGGTTTCTGGTATACTGAGGAAAATCCCTCACAGGAAAACACAGCATTGGCAGGTAGGAATCTGGAGATTCCCAAGAGATGCTACCATTCCCAGGAATTGTCATGCTGTCTTGCTGTGAATCTACCTTCTATTTTTTCCATCTCCAAACGAACCATAAGAGTCATATATGACTTTGTGTGGAGTTAACCCAACATCAGCAATGCGTTGTGCAGTTTTGAGATTTTTAGTGAATTTAGCCCTTTGTGTCCTCTCCTTGATGATCCCACATCTGTGGGATTTGGTAAAGGCAATAACCATTTAATGTCTTTGTAGCAACTTGACTTATTCTGGGAGGGAAAAAGCTCCTTCTCCTAAACTGCACCTGAAAATGCAGTGTCAACTTACATACAGGCTCAATTAGTAGTTGAAATAATATAGTACTTACCTGGCTCTTTCCCAGCCCTCGTACTACCAAGCCTGGGCCTGGGGTTTCTCACAGGCACTCACACCACTACAGCAGATGTGTTTTAAATGAAAAGTTGGGGTGTTCTGCTGAGAACCTGCCTCTGCAGGAACTTTACTGACCTAGGGCTCTGAGTGACCCTGAGCAAGACCATCTCCAGGTGTGTGCGCGCTTACTGGCTGCTGGCTCAGAGTCATTCTGCTGCAGCAGCAGAATGACAAACACAAATTTGGGTTTGTGAAAAAGAGGGCAATTAAAATTCTCCTTGCTCCATAAGCCAGCAGTGCAGGTGATTAGAACAGCTCCAAATTCACACCTGAATGAACAAATCCTAATCTTGAGGGGAGCAGTGCTGCCACCTTGTGGTCAGATGAATGCAACTAACTACTCAACATCCAGGTGTTCAGAGCACATGCCTGTATTTGAGGCATTAACACAAGACTTCCTCTATGTTGTAGCACCAGCTTTACCCACTGTGAGCAAAGACCCACTCATTTATGCCTTTTTAAGGGCCTAATGCCAGGGGGAAGATGGCAGAGCCTGCCCTTAAATTTTTTGTTTGTTTAAAAACAACCAAGAACAAGGGTGGCAGAAATGGCTACCAGAGAATGCCTATTGGGCCAGTCACACTATGTTTAAATAGAACCTAATGCAGGGGCAAAAGCAGCAGCAGAAAGCTTGAGACAGGATCCAAGGGAGGAGAGAGCTGCAAGAATAGCATCTCCTTCACTCCATCCCCTTGGTGTTGGCACATCCCTGCACTGACTGTACTTGTCCCCAGAACCTGTGCCAAGAGTACAAGTTCAATGGAGTATGGCTCTGTTCCTTCCAGGTCAGCAAGGACTGTAGAAGGAGGTAGTGTATGGTGTAATGCTCTCTCAGCTCAGAGGCAAAACTGGAATGCTTTAGTGTCTTGACAGGCTATACAGACCAGCATTTTGCACCAGTAACTACATATGATTTGCAGCAGTAAAATAGTGTTTCCTGAACAGAAGGGTCCTTAGAATGAGGGAACCACCAACAGAATATTCACTCTTTTCTCCCAATAAAATGAACAGCACAAGTCTGTTCAGCCAAAGACACCATACCCTCCTATTTCCTAAGATCTATTTTGTGAGATCATATCCCACACCCCATTGCTGTTCCTGAACACCAAGGTTGGAGCCTGCAGTTTGCTTTGGCATGGGGCTGCTGGAGGCCCTTCTACGCCCTAGCCACTACCTTCTGAAGTGGAGTTCTTAGCTGTGGTTTGGGAGAGCTGGAGCGTTGCTGATTTTCTTGGACAGCAAATGATTCACTGATCGCTATTCTGATGAAGCAGGCCAGTGTGTAAAACTAGCCAAGATACGCAGGTAGGTGGAAGAGAGACTTTAATAATGCCTCATCTCCCTTAAGAGGAAATGGAATTGGGTTTGCAGAACTCTATCCAACATTTGCTGTTTAGGGGATAGTAGAAGCCACTTTAAGCTAATGCTTGCTTGGGAGGCGACTCCCAAAGCCGACCACAAACAAGCAACCTGTAATGAGTCAGCATTACTCTTCTTGATTAATGCTTTTCCAGAAAAACCCCTTCCCATGCTCACTGCAGATCCTTTGCTCTCAAGCACAGCTGGAAAAATGAGGTTGGTTTCTTTTTTTAAGTTAAGTTTATTTAGCAATAGATGTATATACAAGTGACAGATGCCCCCACGGCATGAGACATGCACGAAGCAGTGAGGGCTACAAGTGGCCTTTCCTCATGGTGCTGCCATCCCACTCTTCATAGCAGCGATGCCAAGAACAGAAGACGTGAGATGAGACGCCAATTAGTCCACACGGCAGAACCTTTGGGCAGAGACCTGCCAGCAGCTGATGTTAAAACAAGCGGGCGCCATAGCCAAATGTCTGTTTAATGCCCTCAAAATAGTAACGCTGCCAGCCTTGCCGTGTTCGCTCTTCCTCACTGGCAGGAATGCCCTTGCCTTCCAAGCACACTTCCGTCTCACCACCTTTATCAATGAAGTTCAAGGTAATGGTTGCAAAGTGCCCTAAAAGAACCAGAGCAAGCCCCTGCATCAGCACTGAGCATGGAGGAGTCCAGCCAAGCAAATCACTGAGATGCTCTCCCATTACCTAGCACCACATAAGAAAAGTTGACTCGCCTTCTCACTGCTCTGGGGAGCACAGTACTTTCTGTGGAGCCAGACTGGCTTTCACAGACCGTCCCTGGTAAACAGCTCTTCTGTTCATGGCCTACATGACAACTGCCTGCCTGTCTTCCAGACGCAGTAGAGCAGGGCATTCTCTTTATGCTACCCAGCTCATGGCCAGATTTGCAGCACACTACCCTGGAGGCTGAGCATGCTGCTTCTTTGCTGCTTAAATTCCTGTCTGCTTCCAGGGAAATGGATGGGACTGGAAGTTTAGCAGCAGTGTATGGTCCCTAGCACCACCCACTGTGGAATACGAAGCTGTGAGATCACTACGCGGTATCTGTACCAGTGCAGGCTCCACAATGCTGCCTCCTACCCCAACCAGAGCCCAACCATGGTATTGAGGCCTAGATTCATCTAGCTACAGACAAGGGCTGTAACTCTGTGGTCCAGCTCTTGAGGCTACTTACCACCTGGCCAAGATTTAAATCTCCACTTCATAACAAGCTGCTTCTCTGGGACCTAGGAAAGGGAAGAATGGAACATGCAGTGAGGGAGCCAGCTATTCAACTACACCCACAATCTGAGTCAGCAAGTGCCCAAAGCTGAGCATAACCTGAAGCTCATTCAAGAAACCCATAAGTAATACAAGGCATAAAGGAGGAGGAGAAGATAAGCAAAGACTTGATCTTGGACAAGTGGCCAGTTAGGGGTAGAACCAGGAAAAGAAGTCAGACCTCCTTCCCAGTCCTGAGTGTTCTCTGGTAAGTCCCACTACCTTTCAGCAGTAACTGGATCTTCACTACCAAGATGGATTGTAGGGGAACAGCAGTCAGCAGGGAGGGTTTCATCTTTGAGGAAGGTGTGATACAGATCAGATGACTCAAAGGCTGCTGGGCAGGAAGGGCCTGGCCACAGCACACCTTCAGAATAAGATGCAGCTGCCCAGGCTGGTACTCACTAGGTTGATAAACTCTCCACTGACGCTGCCCTCCAGCAGATGGAACTTCCCTCCCTTGTCAGCATCTACAGCTGCTGGTGCATGGGTGAAAGCCTGCACCATCTGCGGAGAGAGCAAACAGGATTAAGTACAGCACACAAGATCTGTCTGACCCAAAGCACTAGAACCCACCGCTTGGACACCACCTAAACTACACAATGGTTTGTGGAACAGGTTTCTGGGCCAAAACTGAAGGTCTGTGTTTACAGGATGAGGAAAAAAGAGAAGTATCTCGTCTTTCCAGCCACCTGCTGAAGAATCTGAGGCAAACTGACAGGCCTCCTAGTCAGGAAAGCAGCAGCTGAGCATGCCATGCCATTCCAGCACTCCATGGACAAAAAGCATTTGGCTTTTCTCATGTGCCAGGGTGCATGGCAGAGGACTGGGTCCCTCATACTCACTATACACCTCCTATCAGTGCAAGAGACACATTATTTCGTAAGCAATTCTCTGCTATAAGACGGTGATCCAGTTAAAGCCTGGTTCTTAGGAAATGAGTTTTCAAAAGCTGGGGCAGGTGCTGGGGCAGGCACTAAGCCCTATGCAGAGACCCCATGCTTGCTGCCATATGCACTGCAACTGCTAGGACTGTAGATAGCTGCTCCCCTGCAGAGCAGGGACCAGAGCACGCTAGCGCACACAGCCTTATAAATAGTGCCTGAAGAGTGCTGGCTTGTGAATCTGTAGTTCATGTGGCAACTCCCAAAACCCTGCTGATCACCTGCAGAACCCTGCATAGGAAAATGGTTCAGGCAGGACCGGCCCTGTGGGACACGCCTTTATCTCAGATGCCATACTCCCCACTCACCCCCAGCAGAGCAAGACAGCCAGTGTGTTCAAGGCAGCTACTGTCACAAGATTCAGACCATCTCAGCAGCACGGGTGGGACACTGCTCTCTCAACTGCTGAGCAGACAAGGAAGTCACAGGTGGGACACACCTGCTGCTAGATCCATTATCAGCACCCGGGGTTTTCCATGCCAGCTTACCTCCTGGGTGATGAACACTCTGTAGAGCTCCTCAGGAGATGTTAGGAAAGTGTCTTTCAAATTGATTTTACAGGTGGGGATCTTGACTCCTATGGATTTAGGCTGAGGTGCCGCAGTGCTAGTATTAGCAGTGGTCTAAGGAAACACAAACCAGTGTTAAAGTGCATACTCGGTACTTACACAGCACTTTAGAAACATTTCCCAGTTTTTCCATAGACATGAGTCTGTTCCTTCATAGTCCAGGGAGAAGAGCAAGAATCTTATCAGAACAGCAAAGGCTGGCACAGATCTCAAGCATCATCTAGTCCAACCCCATATATGAGAGATACAGGATTTGCAGTTCCTGAGCCATGCTAGAAGGACACACATCCAGGGCATGTCCAGACGTGTGTGGACATTTGGTTCCCCGTGGACAACTAGCAGCTACTTGTGCTCAGGGAATGCCTGTGGCGCATAAGTTACCCTGGGGGCAGTAAGGGAGGCAGGGACCAGCACTGTGCTGGCTCCAGTAGTCTTACCTGGGGTCCTGGGGGCCTCCCGGGGCTGCAGCCACGGTGATCCTGCTGGGCAGAACCTGGCCAGTAGCTACAGCATGGCTCTGGGCAGCATGGCTCCACTTTTCAGCAGCGCATGCTGCCCTAGCATACGCTGCTTTTGGGTTTTTTTCCACAGGTTTTTTTGGCCCTTGGATATCCAGGCTTCAAAAAAAAACCATGGGGAAAAAACAAAACAGAGTAGCACATGCTCAGGCAGCGCACCCTTATGTGGAGAGCACTGGACTGTGAGGTAAGTGGTGCGCAAATGTGTTTGCAGCACCACATACTGCACGACTGCTCTCATCTGGACACACTCCCAGTCTCCTCTTATAAGCCTCCAATGAAGGAGATTCTACAGCTTCCTTGGATAACTTATTTCACTGTCCTATTGCTCTTACAAGTAAAGAAGCTTTTCCTAAGAACCAGTTTATGGCTGCTTTTATCCAGCTGCATCCAGACCTCCAAAATCAAACCTTTTGCTCCTCTGCTCTGGGCATCAGCTGTGGAGCTGGCTCCGTCTGCTCACCATTCACTGTGGGCAAGATCATGCCTTGGGTGAACTCTAAAAGGACAGAAATAGGCCAGTAAAACTAGTCAGGACTATGAGAATCTCTGAACTACTCAAAATACTACAAGCTGTCTAAGGCTGCAAAGTCTGACTCAACATAAGGTCATGACTAGGATGAGTTTATACAAAGCGAAGTCTGAGTTCTCCTGCCAACGCACCCATTTCTAGTCTATGCTGGGGAGGAAAGCAGAACCAAGTGAGTTTACCTCCAGCTGCTGAGCATGACAGGAAAATCCAAGTTCTAAGTTCATATAAAGCATGTGCAGTCTGGGAAAAAGCTTATTTAATTACACCAGCAAAACCTCACCAGTGATCTCAATGTGCCAGTTCAGTCCAAATCCGTGGGGATCTGGAAGCAAGATCTGTTCTTTAAATCTTGTTAGCATGTGGGAAGAGGAATGTATAACAAGAACTAGTAACCCAGGAGAGATTGAGTAAGTTAGATGTGAAGCGAGATTAGGCATTTTTTTTTTTGAGAGCTAAATGCTGAACTGCCCTCACACTGACCCACAAAATTGGTCAGTGTCCAAGTCCCTCTCTCTCACCATCTACATGTGAAAAAGTATCCCAAATTACCATCTCCACAGCTGGAATTACATGCTCAGCATTGAAGATACTACAACACTTGTTCTATTGACTCCTGGGAATACTGCATACAGAGCTACCACAATGTGTTGCAAACTGCAAAGCTGGGAGACCGGCTTATTTTAAGGAACTCCAAGAAGCCTCCTGCCCTGGGCCAGCTCATTCCCAACAGAGATGGAAAGATAACTAACGAGCGCTGCAACCACTCCCACTGCATGTCCTCATGCAGCAGCTGCAGGGCAGCCCCGACACGCTTCTTCCTCACAATCACTCACCTGATTTTAGGGTGCTGATGTATGTGCTCACTGCATCTCTGATCAGCCTTGTGCCCTCTTGCTTCATTAAGGCCAGCAAGTTTGTGTCAGGCTCATCTTTAACCAGCCCAACGCCAATCTGAATAGAAAGGACAAGCAGCTTGTGAACAAAGCCAAGTGTGCTGGGCCCCCGTGTGACTTGGCCTCAGGGCAGCACCTCTGCCTAGAAAGCTGCTCCCGCCAAAGCTACACGAGGAACGCTCTACTCAGGCTGCCTCCTGCACAAGCGGCTCGGGGCAGGCGGGCGCAGCCAGTCAGGTTTCCACGTGCTACGGCTCTGCCCAGCTGCTCTGCTGGCATAAATGCAGGGCGGCCCTGGCTGGCTTGTGGCCCAAGAGGCTTCACCTCTGGGGGGCGGTGGCCAGAGAGGCACCAGCCCCAGCGAAGTGACAGCCCCTACCTCCACCTCATCCACGTCGTTCTCATCCGAGAGGTTGGGGATCTCCACGTAGCCCTTGTATGTCACCCCTGCTGCCGATGTGCCTGCAGGACAGGAGGAGCCGCTCAGCACCGGCACCCACAGAGCCCCCGTCCCCCACCCTCCCCACGCCACCCCCATTCTCACCCGTCCAGGCCAGGCGTAGGCTCCACTCGTAGAAGAAGATAAGCTTGCCCTTGCGGTTGTTGATGGAGGCCTCGCCCTCGAGCCGACTCACCTCGGTCACCTCGCACGTGCCCTCAGCACCCCGCACGCGCACCCCCAGCAGCAGCGCGCGCAGCCGCTCCGTTGACCAGTTGGACGCGTCGCGCTCTGTCCTGCGGGGGGGGGGGGGCAGCGGACAGGGGTCAAGCTCGGGGCCCTTCCCGGGGCACTACCCAGCGCCCCCCCTGGCCCCCGCCCCCCGCACCAGTGCCAGTTGTTGACGTTGGTGGCGTCGGCGCGCTGCTCCACGATCCAGCGCGGGTCTCCCTCGCCCCACTTGGCCATCGGGACCCGGACCCGCCGCTGCCGCTACCGCCGCCGCCGCTGTAGAATCTACTAGAAGCGCCGGCAGCCGCGCCGCCTCCCGGCTTCCGTCACCAGCGCGGATCCACTTCCGGCTCCTTTGCCAGCGCTTCAGGACGGGGCCCCGCCTCCTTCGGCCGCGCGCGTCTCACTCAGCCACAAGCGGACTTCGTTGGCCCTTCTGCCGCTCCGTAGAGTGGGGGCTGCGTAGGCCACGCCCCCGCGCGCAGAGGAAGCCCCTCGGGAAGGGGCATGACGTAGGAGCGTCGGAAGCCGGAAACGGCTGGGGGCCGCCGGGACGGGTAGTCCTCGCGGCCGCCTCCCGCGGAAAGGGGTTGGGGCGGCGGGACTGCGGCCCCCGTCGGGCTGTGCGGCGCGGGGAGCAGAGCGGGGCTGGCCTGAGCCCGGCGGC